CAATGGGTCTTGAAGTGGATCATCAAGGAACTGGGTTGTACCATGCATTAGTTTAGGAGCATGTGTAATGGGGACATTCCATTCAGAGCACAGTGGTAATAAAAGCTGTAAAGACTTTTGTACAAAAGTCTGCACGTAAAATTCAGTAGTTATCAGAATATAACACAAAATCACTTTTACAAAATGCCAAGTTTTACAGGAGAACAAGACTAAAAATGATCCATCCAGTAACAAATGGGGCACTTAAGAACTGTCTTTATTCTGAATAATTTGAGACTGATCAGTTACTTTAGCACCACGAAAAACATTAGACGTTCATTTCTTACCCTTCCAACAAAGCAGGACTTTCAAGAATGGAGTTAAGGCTGGCAAAACAGATATCCTTTAATATCAAAAACAACATACAAAATATGATGTCTATAAAGATACTTAAACATGTCAGTGTTATCAACATTAGCACACATTTTAGTATAAAATCACTCTAATCTGAGCATACGCAGTTCTGAAACATTAGAAATGTTGACGCAATATATATAGAAGACTAAAAGGCATACTGAAAATATGCCAAAGTTTACATGCCTAGAAACTCACTGGCTGTCTGGAACTGTAATGCTGCTGTGCTTATCAGCAGTGGAACAAACAAGTGAAAATCATGACTTTTTCATCAGCTGTCTCCCACATTCCAGTGCTGCAGCTCATGTAGGTAAATGCAGAATGAATGGTTGTGAATGCCCTGGTCAAAATATATTGTATTTTTATATATGTGCACACACACACACTTAATAACAGAGAAGATGCCAAGAGTCAGCTTCCACAGCACTTCCAGCTCCCCAGAGGGGACTCAGGCCCCAAACCAGGCAGCACCTCTGCTCCCCACTGAGAGGACGGCCGAGCCCCTCCACGTGGGCTGTGGCCTGGCAAGCAGGGAGCTGCCCTGTGCCAGCACAGCGAGAACCCGGCTGCTTAAGCTAACCCGTCAGGATGATCCCAAGGAGAGTCCTGTTGATTCTCATCCTTAGATACTTCCATCAGGGCTGCAAGGAAGCATCTCCTGTCCCTTTGGCACGTACTACCCCATGCAAGTGACTGAGCAGGGCATTCTTGCTTTCAAAAGCTAGTGTCTGATTTTTACATCCTCAGCGTGTGATCAAAGCATTCGTCTAGTAAGTGTGAGAACTGCCTTCAGCACTCTCGCAACTTGACTCAACCTCACATCTCTCACTTCATAAAAACTTGCCTAGTCTATCAGGCTGTGGCTGTTCAAAGGTTTAAAAGAGGAAGGAAGCTTGAGGAAGGAAGGCTGAAGAGCACTATCCACACCCGATATGATGTGCATCAGCTTTGACAATCCAGCGTCCCCAAAGGGAAGGGAGGAATGTGTATGCCCAGACATCATACACGAAGAGCCAAAGAAGAGAAGTGTCAGTTGTCTACCCCATCTGATACTGAATATACCCTGAAGGATGGCCACAGAACAGCTAGGTCATCTTTGACTTGAGTGAGTAATTTAGGAAGGTCCATAAATGACCACTGAAAGTAAACTTAGAAAAAAAAAAAAAATTAAATGTTAAAGCTGAACAGACAAAGATCTGGATGAAGGAAATTCTAACAAATAGCGTGTTAATTTGAAGTCTTGGTTTGAGACTTGCACAGGTCCTTTAACATGTAGTCAGAATACATCCAACAATACTTTTTTATTAATTATACAGTGTATATTGTTGCATAGCTTAGATGTAAGTAAGAACCTGAAGGGTTTTCATTATTTCAGACTCTTTGCTGAACAGATCTATTAAGATTTACAAGGATCTCACACCTACTGAAAAGTCATAAGTGTCAGCCATACAGAAAACCAGCCCCTTGCTCAAAGTTAGTCTTGGTTTTAAGATCTGGTGCATTAAATTACAGCATACAGAAATTTCACACAGCCATTTTAAGTGAACCTCTTTCTACCCAATGTCTTCTAAAGCTTACTCTGAAAACATTTAATGGAAAAAAAGATGATTACTCTGTTTACAGGATGGGAGAGGAATGTCTGCTAAAAGTACTCTCTGAATTGTTCTCAAGAGAACAATATATCTGAGTGATTTAAAGGTTTTCTTGAATTAAGCTACTATTGTAATTTTAGAATCTACCCCCAACAAAATTAAATCTAGCATGAATTAGGTCATCAAAATATGAGATCAGCAGCTTTCCCATGAACAGGTTCTCACACCTAAAATTACCTTTTGTTACAAAAATTTATTTACATTTACTCAAAATAAAATTGACTCTTTGGTGCTTTTTTCTCCGACTTTCAGAGTAGCAACCATCTCTACATTACTCAATAATCTTTTCATAAACATACTAAAGAGTTGCTATGTGTGTTGAGTTCTTTGTGTTTTGGTTTGGGTTTTGTTTGGGTTTTTTTAAAGGGAGACAGCTAACCTCAGGCCATACAGAATCCAGTGTCTCTCTAAGTAAGTTTCTCAATGGTTAGCTAGCCTCACCACTAACAATCTGAACTTTACTTTCATTTCAGCTGCATCTTATCTAGCTTTAGGAAGCTTATAGCCAATAAAGAACAGTATCTATTGGACATTTCCCCCACAGATACAAGGTAACAGTAAAGACACTAACAGAATTTTCATGCTTTTTAAAAAAACAAAACAAAAAAAAAAAAACCAAACCTTTTGTGAATATTTTTTTTTCCTGAAGCCTTCTCAGTTTTAGTGTTGTTGTAAACCAAGCACTGGCATCAGAAATAGATTCCTTGTTCAAACTTCATCACACCAGCACAGCTTCCTACCCCTAACTCTGCTTCCCTCTTGTCTGACATCCCATTCACTAGTTGTTTTTAACATAGTAATCACTCTTAAACTATTACTCACTCATCATACCCTCTTCCTGGAGACTCTGGAGTTACTTGGTATTTGTTTCTATTTTGGTTTTGTTTTGTTTTGTTTTAATGGCATCCTTCATATTTGTGAGCATAATTTACATTTTTAGTTACTCAAATATGAGAGTTTGGATTTTTATGTACAAATACATTTTAAAAGGGTATGGCAATAATTAATCCATACCACTGTTATACTATTTCTGTATAATTTCTAAAACTTAACAGCAATTATTTTATATTCTCTCCCAGATAATTTATATACTTACAGAGCAGCAAGCCAGGAAGATACCACAATTATATCAAGATGTCTGGTCACAATGATTTCAAGTTGCATTAGTGCTAAAAAGCAGCCTTGTTTTTCGTTAAATACTCAAAGCTAAAATGCATGAAATGAAAGATCTGTGGTGATGAACACTAATTTTTCATAACAAAGCAATAGGAATAAAGAAGCTTTCACCACACTTACTGAACACCTTTTGCATTGCCCAAATAGAAGATAATACTGAAAAACATGTTCTGCAGAAATACTCCAGACAAGAACAGCATAAGCTGTCAACATAATTCTTGTAATGAAGGCAGCATTTTGTAGTAATTTTAATTAACAATACTATGAATATTTTAATGACATTCTTAGAAGTACTTATGAGGTGCAGAAGCACAAGTCCCAGCAAATCTCAAGGGACCTCTGTTTTACAGATTGGGGGTTTGGGGTTTTGTTTTGGGTTTGGAGTTTTTGGGGGTTTGTTTTGGGGCTTTTTTGTTTGCTTGGTTGGTTGTTTTGTTTTACACCTCCAATTCCCTCCCATACACCTCTAACATTTTAAGATTCAATTATTTTAAACCTCACTCATGTAAAGCAGGGATTGAAATTCTGCAGTATAAAAAAGGAATGAGCTTTGGTCTCCAATAACTAGGATGCTTTTCATGATTATATTTAAAGGACTTTAAGTTGATAGACGTAAACATTCTAAGCAATAGTATTGCTAACCTATTGTTTTGTATCACAAACATGCATGGGCTTTCTGAGCAACTTACTACAACTCCAGAGAAAGAAAAATAATGAAAATAGAAGAGACACAGGTTATAATTTTAAAACAGTATGCCTCTGGTTTATGTAAAGAACAGGTATTGTTACTAATTAAGAAACTGTGCTTCAGTGTGCACTTTGTCTTCAGGTCACATGTAGTTTACTCTTTTGCTGTGACACTTCTAAACATGAAAACAAAAATTATTAGTATTGAATGGACCTGAAATAAAGAATCAAGTATTCCACTGGATTGCTGATCCATATCCACAAATAATCATTGCACTTGGAAGTGGTTTATGATAAACTGAAAAGCAGTGTTTTCATCTCAAAGTATTAGGCTTTAAATATTTTTCAGAGAAAGAGGTTTTCAGAAATACCTGTTTGACAAGCAGTGCATAATACCTAAGAATACATAAGTAATAGGGCCATGTTTAGTATGTTAAGCAAGAAATAAGACATGCAAAGACATTTCTTTATATCTGAATAAAATATGGAGCTATATCCTACACACAAATGAACACAGCTATAAAGACTTATAATAAACCTGCATGTTTACTTAGTGCAAAAATCTTTAATTGTTGAAAGTCATTTTAATAGCTTGCGTGTATTTCCATGTTAAAAACAACTTATTGCACTTAGAATGTATTCTTTAAAGCTGTCTTGTTTTTAAGAATAAAAAAAAAACTTAGCAAGTAAAACAGAATAATTTGAAATGCAGTCTAATTCACAATACTGCTTCAAAGTATTACTGTCAGTACAATTTCCAAAATATCGGCTATTCTGAGGTTTAGCTGAAAAAAATACACGTATACATTAATAGTATTGCCTTCACCAAATAATAATAATAAAAAAATCTATCATTCAGCAGCTTTACTTCTGAATGTGTTGGCACTTGGACCTCAGCTTGCACATAATCAAAACCTGTGTCCATCAAAAATTTCATCAGCAATGATCTTTCTTTGGGCTACTGTGAGAAGGTGAACTGATGCAAACTGAGCAGGCTGGGGTACTTCGAGAGAATAAAACAGATGTTTAATAATTTAGTTTTCTAATTATTTCAGTAAGAGTTAAGGGAATTAAAAAGATGCGTATTTGTGTTCATGATACAGAATTGTAAAAGGATGTAAAAAAGCATGAGAAACTTCAAAAAATGAATCAGTCATAAGAGCTACTACATTTCCCAGTGTAAGCACCCACAAGTGTCCCTGCATTGGATGGACCATAAAAGTTATTGAAGAATCCTGGGTCAGTGAACCAAAACCAGCTTTTGCACTCCCAGAAATAGGTTCTGATGAATTAGAAAAATATTCTCTTCACACACAGAATCACTATGCACATACACACTAATGCTACAAAACTTCAAATATCTTGAAAATGTGGCTTGAAATCAAACTCAACCACTCAGCAAAAAAAAGTTCAATGGTATAAAAGATTCTCATAGCAGTTTTGCAGTTTGAGCAATAGTTCAAGACTTCTTCGGTATCGTGTAGGAGCTTCAGCCAAGAAGTACAAATCTGGCTTCGACAGAAGAAGGTCAGGCTGGTACATGAAAATAAAGCATCAAAACCCAGATTCCATTTCTTTGACTGGCTTTTCTGTCATGTCTGACACCAAAGTGCTTTCATTTTCCAGCATTTTCTCAGTAGTTTCTCCATCAACAGGTTTTGCTCTTTCTTTTAACTTCTGCCGTTCATGGACCCAGGGGATGAAACACAATATAGCTCCGCCAATAAGGGGAGGGACTCCGGCCAGGTAGAATGCCACATCGTAGGTGCCGAGGTGGTCACGCAGCAAACCTGGAAAGACAGAAAGTTACCAGTGATCAATAACGGGGTCTCAGGAATCTACAAAAAAACTCAAACCAAAATAAAACCAAAAAAAACCAAAAAACAAACCCATGTCTTCTCTTTGGATTCAGAAACTTGAGAGCTGGCACAGACTATTGTAACCATGAGTCTGACTACCTGATGGCCAGCTATAGGTAGAAAGGTATTCCAGAACTGACTTAAAGACTCCAAGTAATAAAGAACTCAGTGTGTCACCACTCGGCTGCTTAATCACCACCCATCATTAAAAACGCTCCATATTTCCTATTTGAAATTTGCTCATTTCAGCTTCTCCAGCACTTGAATCTTGCAATGACTTGGAGAAATTTTCCCTCTTTTGGTAACAGCTGCCTTTGATCAAGGTGCTTCTTAAAACCTCTTCTAGATAATACTGCATACATTGCATTCCTGGTAACCTCTTATTGAAGAAGTGTGCTTTCTAACAATTCACTCTAATTGCTCTCTCAAAACTCCTCCCATTAATCAAAATCTATTAAAGTATTAATAGCTGTGATAACGTACCCAGATCAGAAATTGCCTAGTCTATGCTGTTCTTGTTCTTTGTAATGCTGCATTGTTCAGTTACATCTTGCTAAGTATCTTTCAGTAGTATTCACAAGACCTTAGGGTAAATTAGAATTGAAAATCAGCAGTGCTAAGGATTCTAGCTTAAGCTGTTTCTGCCTCCCAAAGAACTTCCAGTTCTTCAAAACCTGTACTTTGTCAGTCTCCCATTAAAGAACGAAAAAAGCCAGTGCTCCCACTTATGAAAAGCAATTACAGTGGCTGGAGCTTTTATCCTCACAATTGTTTTTGCATGAGCAAATTCTGAAGTCCAGTTAATTATCAGATTCTAATTTGGAGTCCTTCTGTAAAAACAGTTAACATATATATTATGCTGTCACCTCAACAGCATGGAAAATGTCGAGTCCTCAATCCAACTGAAAACTTATCTTTCTTTTGAGGAATGTTTTACATCTGCATAACAATAAAAGAGACTGAAGCAAATAGTAAATTAATAGCCTATGAGCAGCAGTTAACTTCACCACATGCTCTGGAGCAGGTACCAAGAAAAATGCCAATGTAAGTGTACTGCATATGATGTAGGAACGGAAAATATGGCCAAAAAGTCATGCAGCAGCAGAAACACATTTACAGCTACAGACCTTATCCATACTTACCTGCAACGGGTGGACCAACTGTCATAGGTATTGACATGAGTCCTAGGAGAAATCCTATGGCCTGGGAGACATCCTGGGCCCCAACAAGCTCAAAGGCAATGGGAGCCATAATGCAAATGAAGCACCCATCAAATAGGCCCATGAAAAGACAGACAGCAATGAGACCTCCAAAGACATGGCACAGTGGAATCATCATAGACATCAAGCCAATAAAGAAGAATGAGGCCACCTAAACATAACCGAGGAAGAGTTATAAAACCATGTTGCATCAAATCAGCGAAGACAAAGGGAACAGATGAGCTTTCTTGCATTTGCAGTTAGTTAAACTGTCTGCCTGTATTTACTTTAAAATAAATATAAGCTGTCTCCATGGATTAACAGTATCAGAAGTTAAATACCAAGATAAAACAAACATATATGACTGTCATGACACACAATCAAAGAAAATCCACTACCCATTTCACAGGTTTTCAAACTGCATTTGTGATCAGCTATCCTGCAGTGATTTTATAAGGTCATTTCTCATGCACCAACATTTTTTTCAGAAGTTACTCCCTACTCTTTTCACAAATTAAAGCCACAAAAATATCAAAAGCTTAAGACAGCTAACACACTCCAAGTAGACTCCTCACTCTTGTAGTTTAAGTAAAAATATCAGTATTATGAGTGATTACTTCAGGGTACTTATATTCAACAGAAGTGTTATTTGAAAGTCTCATTTCTATTTTTCCACATAAAGGTATCTTGCTTGTATTCCTGTAGCCATTCATACTTACAAAGATTTTATATTATAATGTGAGATTAAGATTATTTTTTTTCTTTTAAATTAAAGAAATAAAACCCTGTCTTTCAGCAAAATGAAGCAGAATTTAAAAGAAAATTAAAAAGGTAAGGAGTTTTGCTTGTGCACTCTCCATACGCCAGTATAAGAAACCAATGTCCCACCTAACTGCACAAACACATTTTCTAAACAAGACATATGCTTTAGGCACTGGTCACTTCTAGACCATTAAAGAAAAACAAGGTGACTTAAAAACTACTAGACATCACAATTTTTTGACAGACAAGGGACATCAAATAAATTACTTCATTAGCAAAAGTCTGTAAGTAGACAGTTCAATTAAACAACTTTCAGGACAGCATAACAATTCTTTTAGATAATGTACTTTATTTAGCATACTAAATAAAAATTGTTGCAAAACATCTCAAGTATGGTATAGGAATAGAAACACTGAAGAACTGGTCTTATAGGAAATACTCAGTTCTGTGTATTCTGGTACAGGAAACACAAATATTATTTGAGATTAGTTTATGTCTAATTAGTAATGTGCTTATCTGTAGACAAACTCTAAACTAGATATTGTTGACCAGATTCTTTGTATTACCATACTATGGTAAAAGCAGCATTAAAACCAGAATCACTAAACTTTGTATCCAGAAGAGACAGAATGCATCATTCTGTTACTAAAAATAGAATTTATCAAGCAAAATCCAGCAAAACAGTTCTGTAAAAGAGAATGCAGGAACAAAGGTGAAGGTTGAGCTTGCTGGGGAGAACTCTTGGAAGTGGTTCAATTATGAGACAGTGAAGTTCTAAGAGGAAAGAGGTTTCATTTGCATTAGTCAAAATTTATTCTTAAATAATTTTTACATGAGATAGGGTGACAGTATGAACTGCTGGCCAATCCAGAATAATAATTGAGGTGAATATTGACTTTCCCTCAAAAATGCTGGTTTGAAACAGGAGAGCTGTAGATGCCTGGGGCACGGCTTCACAAAGGTAACGCGTTTTTCCTGCTTCAAACTAGGTGAAACCAACAGTACTCAGAAGCAGCCAAGTTCATGCCCTCCACAAAAGCCCATGGTTTTCAGTTTCCTAGCTATCCAAGGAAAATAATAAAAAAAGCTTATAGTTTTACTGCAAGTTTGGTATTTGTGCTTTATAAATCACATGTAAGATTCTCAATGCTGCCTTTTCACTTTCTCTCTTAATACTGACATTTCCTGAGAATGTGACCATATGTATTAAATCAGTGCAAATCAATGAGATACAGCCCCAGTCTCTGCCATCAGGGAATTTATGTAACTGTGGCAACAAATACTCCATCTTCAGAAAGGTGGTTCTTAAGAATTTTTGTTTTCAGTACTGTAGTACAGATAATAGCCATTAGATGTCTCCCTTGTTATTCATTTTAAAACAACAAAACAAGAACACTCGGTGCTTGATAACGTGCAAGTTACTAACTAAAGCTTTTCCAAAAATCTGCATTAACACTGTTACTTTCTCAAAGGCATAGTGTTTATAAATGTGGAGAGGAAAAAAGTGCACATTCTCCTTCATCCCCAAGCTTCATCATTTCTGGAAGCTGTGACTCTTTCTGCAAGTAACCCACTTCATTCAGAAAAATCTCAACTAAACACTTCCCATGGCTTTACCAGTGTGCACTATGCACAGAACATACGTGACACTAAACTATCGCCAACAAAGATCAAGAAAAGAGACCCAAAATCCTTAATGGAGGAACATAGAAAAAAAAGAAATTACTCTTTCTGCAACCATTATGAAATAATGGGATAGACCAGGGAAAGCAGAATCTAGAGAATCCTCAAAGGTTCTCACTCACATGCTAATGATTAGTAATTTTTTTCATTCTCAGCAGGTAGTAGACACATTTCCTTAACATTAAAAAAGAGAAAAAATATTGGAGATTCATGAACTCTGCACCAAAGTCTCCTAGTATCAAAAACCATATATTGGGTTCCCTGGAGTTCTGAAATTCCTCAAATTTGGATCTCAAATCAGTTAATTCTGTTTACTTAATAGTACCTGCAACCAAAGCCTTCAGAATATCGTTTGCAGATTTCTTCAGAATCACGTGAAGACATACCTGGAGATAAACTTTTTTTGCACCAGGAATATAATCAGCAACTCTGCCAAAGATCAATCTGCCAACTCCTGATGTAATGCCCAGACACAGCAGAAGTACTTCTTCTGGCATGTTGTCACCAAATCTGTCTTTTACATGCTTCATCTGTTTTAAGAGAGGGTTGAGAAAATAAACTGGCGTTAGAATTAAAAGGAAGATAAATCTTAGAAAACTTTGACTTAAATAGAAATAATCTGTGAATCTCAGACTTGGAAATATGGCCACAAATGGTCAACTAACTAAATCCGCTTTTACAGATTTTAGAATAAGTTTTGTACTGGTTTATCAGTATTAAGTGCAATACAATAAAAAAAATATGAAAATATGTTATTGCTTTATTCACAGTTAAGGATCTTAAGAAAACAACAAGGCTGCGTCTAGTACCCAAAAAATTGAAGAGAACCCAGAAGTGCTCTCCCCAAACACGTTTAATTTACTAGTCATAGGTTTAACATAAAGCAGAACCCACAGAGGATGGCTGGAACTGGTTGTTTCACTGGCCAGGGCACACTCAGGCCCGAAGGTACTGAGTGATTAATGAGTATCACCACAGCACAGATACATGCTGGCAGACTTCTACAGCAGCTCAGGGCAGGAGCAAGAAGCAGAGGGGCAGAGAGCTGGAGGTCAGACAGTGCGAGCAGGAGGGGCCCTTCCAGACTGCCTCATCCTGACAGTCAGCCCTCACCGGGACATCCAGAGGCAAGGAGGAAGAGGAGCAGGAACCACCTGCAGTGCAAACAGCAAGCACTGCCAGGAGAGGGTGCAGCAGCTACAGCAGCAATGACTAGGGCAACCTGGAAGAATGATTTATCATCCACTTCAACCTCAAGAACCACAGCAACTGACCAACAGTAGAACATCAACTACAATGTGATGAACTACCAGTGTCAGTCATTCCAACCTTTCAAGTCATGTTTAAAAAAAAAAAAAAAATTCATAGGACTGGCTTGATAGATTTGGATTTCGTATATTCTGACTAGTTCCACCCTGGGTTTTGTTTGTTTGTGGGGGTTTGTCTTTTGTTTTTGGGGTGGGTTTTTGGTTTTTAGGGGTTTGTTGTTTTGTTTTGGTTTTCTAAGACAACCATGAAGACCAGAAATTGCCCATAAGAAAGATTTTTTGCACAATCACTTTTTGAAACATGCTTGGCAATACAAAATATGCCAAAGTGGGTATTTAGGAGGCGCAGAAATCATTTGCATATCCCCGTGATCTCTGTGCTCATAACTAGTTCCAAACAAGAAACGGTAAAGACCCAGAGATGTGAAGAAGCAGATGGAAGAAACTGATTTTAAGGGAAAATGTAGTAAAAATACCTGAGAGATAAGGTGACCACAGGGATGGCAAACCTGGATAGCAAAAGCTGCACACTAATTTTTGTTATTAATTCTGATTATGTGATGTCACTTCAAACTAGAGAGCCCTTATTCTCCTATCAATAAAATGGAAAAGTTCCATTTTTGTAAATCCTTCTAGAGCAAAATACTCAAGATTCTTTCCTGGCCTGAGTGTTAACACACAAGCAGAGTCTTTTTTTTTTTTTTTTTTTTTCTCCAACCTAAACAGGATTTGCTGAGTGATGGTGATTTTCTTAAGTATAAAATCAGTTGGGTTTTGTGTACATGTCACAGAAAGTCTATTCGATCTAACATTAATATGTTCAATATAATTGATTTTGTCAGGAAGGAAAAAAAATAGAGGTTAGTGGATTTGTTTTTAAAGAATAACTTCTAACTTCAATTGAAGACAAATGCTTTCTCTTTCTGTTTTTGAGGATTCTTTTTCTTTGCTTTTTCAGGTACATTTGTGAACAGAATCCGATGAAATTTTTCTTCTGGAATGATATTGAACTATAAAAGATAAGTTGTTCTATTTATTCCCTTTCTGTCAAGGGTGAGAAGAGGAAAAGTTGACATTTTCCCCACCCCTACCTTTATGTGCCTGTCAACACCTGCTGGCCCAGCCAGCGAGAGAAGCCAAGGCCTTTTCTGCTGTTCTTGTCACCTGTTCCACTTCCATGTTTCTGCAGTCTCCTGCTTGTTTAATTGGCAGACCTGATTCATCCGCTCCCTGGAGGCTTTTCAAGAGGTAAGATAAAGCTCTACATCTAGATAACTATTAACCCAGCATCTGCAACTGAGTAACTGGATTTCTCAAAGCAGCACTCTCAAGGGTGACACGCTGTCCTCTCTTGGATCAATTGGGGAAAACATTTGATTCAATCAACTCCTGCAGTAGGAAAATAACCACTGCTCATCTCTTATCTTCAAATATCTAAATTAGTATAATTTTTTTAGTTTTCACTCCTCTTAAGAACACCATAACCTTAAAGAGAGCTTCCAACTAGATGTAAAGAGAAGCTTTTTCCCCTGGATGGCAGCATGCAGTGGCACAGGCTGCCCAGAGAGGTTGGCCAGTCTCCTTCCTTGGTGGTTTTTGAGACCCGAGTGCACAAAGCCCTGAGCAACCTGGTCTGATCTCAGAGATGACCCTCTGATCCTTAGCAGGATATTCAATCTTCAGTGATACAGTCATTAAGTAAACTGTAAGCAACAGCAGTAATAACTGTGTATCTGAAAATACAGCAATTCAGGATTAATTCAGTACTGTAGGTACTTAGAGACATTTCTTGTAACTATAGGTTACATTTATTTATTATGAAGTAACTTAAACAAAATGCAGATTTCCACAGATTTTTAAACAATAGGACTACTCAAAAATCCCACAATGGGCAATTATCTGTGGACCTTCTCAGGCAGCATCTCATTCATTAACACTCCTGTCATTGCAGAACTTTTGTGGGAAGAAAGATGTTTCATAGTTTAAGATGTTAAGATTAAAAAGTACAGGACTCAATTGTATAGAGTCTCCAATTATACTTCTGCTCAGCAGAATCCTTACAAGATATATGCAAACTAGAAGAGGAATTTCATCTTTAACTCATTAGTTTTCCATGGAGAAAGCAGATGGCTGGACATTAAAGCACAACTCTATCATTCAGTACAGGCTGTGCTTTCATTTTTTCTGAACTAGAGCAGACAGCAAACTTTATTTTATGTGTGTTCTGATTTTAATAACATAATAAAAAGAACTTTAAATTAAAATTAATTGAAGTCAATAGGAAAAAATAAGAGGCCCCAATCAGTTTCCAAATATTGTATTTTGGGGTTTTTAACTTTTCTCATGAGCAGTTTTTATGTAATTTTATGTCTCTTCAGGTATTATCTACAGCAGTCAAGTGGGGATGCAGACACACTGAAGGCCAAAGCATTGCTCTATGGGTTTTGCCTTTTCTCGTAACGGGAGCTGGCTCTTCACTCTCATTAGAGTAGTGTCCATGCTGAATTGCAGGTCAAATTTTCCAAATGTAGAAGAGGCCTGTAATTTTGTGCCCTGGTTTTGCTAGGATAGAGTTAATCTTCTCCTTGGGAGCTAGAATAGTTGTGTTTTGGTTTCAGTGTGGATTTATTATGAGAAGAATGTTGATAACATACTAATGTTTTAGTTGCTGCTGGATGGTCAAGGTAAAAGTCTTTTTTGCTAGTCTGCAAGTGCAAAGGACCGGGAGGGGGGAAGCACAGTGAACAGCAAAACCCAAAACTGGCATTTGGATATGCCAATGAGATATTCCACATCCTATCACGTCATGTCAGTATATTAATGAGAGGAAATTGGGGGTATTCTCTTGAGGATCACTCGGGTTCGCTCTTCTGAGATTGTGGTTTTGAGACTCTCTGCTCGGTCAGCAGGTGGTGAGCAACAGCACTGTACATCACTCATTTGCATATTCTGTTATTACTGTTGTTATTATTTTATCTCAATTAGTAAATTGTTTTTGTCTCAACCCATGAGTTTTCTTACTTTTACCCTTCTTTTTCTCTTCCCTACTCCCTGGGGGGGGCAGAGAGTGAGAGAACAACTGTTTGGCTACAAGCCAAAGGAGAGAAACCACCACATTTTGCCTGAGCCAACCAGTACAAGATTTTCCAGATAGCACAGCTTCTTCACTATTTTAAAATAAGTTATCTTGGTACAATGCAATTTTCCAAATCAAGACATAGACAGTGGACAATAAAACTGAATGCATCCCTGGCACCAGCTTTGTACCTTACACCCTTGCTCTCCGTTATCAGGGTAACGCATACAAACACAGATCTTACAGTCCAAATGCTCATTGCTGTGAGGCTGAGACTAGAAGGTTAGCCACTTGGCAGTGGCCAGAATGCTTTCAGATATACTCTCCATCCAATCCAGGCCTAGATTTTGCCAAGATCTTCCATTCAATGCACACACATTTGAGCTATATTCATGCACTGAATCAGAGAGAGAGATCTGAGAATAACTCCTGGTCCTTTTTCCACACACAAAGAACCTGAATCTGAAAAAAGTGGTAATAAACTAGTAAGAAATAATTATCTTTCTGTCAACTGCTTGCCTCCTGTGGATATTCCATTTTGGGAATTTCCAATCAAGTAAAACTTTAGTAGGCTAAATGCAATGCAATGTTTCTCACCAAAAGAGGTGGCCAACAGCAAAATATAACCTAGAAAAGTTTGAGCACATAAAAATCAGCATTTTCTGCAAGTCCTGTTGCCTGACACTATCCTTACACTGCTTCTGAATGAGAAAAGGAAATGTTTACAGAACATTGCTGGTACCATTTGTAAATTGGAGATACTATTCCTAACTGCTCCAAATTAACTGTTTTCTGAAAGAGCTGAGAAGAGTTCTTTTGGTTTTGATTTTTTCTTTCCCAGACATGAAGAGAAAAAGTTTAGCCTACATAAATAAACTTTTCATTCTTCATGCTTTTCAGGGAGGCGTGAGTTTATAGAAATCCAGACAAAACTGTGCTTCCCTGGAATGCAGAGTGGCAATCCATGCCTGTAAGTAACAAAGATGAAGCTTTGCATGAGGTGTTAGAGGAGTCTCAAACATAACCTTACAGGCAAAAACTATGATCAGAGACCAAATCTATCACAGTGCTCTTGGTATGGAATCTGCCCTGAGGTATAAGCATTTGTAATATCCAGAACTGTTTTAATTTAAATCTTGTTTTTTCAGTCCTAATTGGCCCTTTTAGCCATGCAAAAATTTTAAAT